TCATTTTTAGAGCGTTAGTGAATTAAAGAAAGCAGTATAAAAACCGGAATGTCCAACTGATAAGGCTGAAAATTTTTTCTCTTGATATTTATAGTAAGATAAATACATTCACCAACTTTTATTAAAATAAAACCATTTAAACTGGGTGTTCGGATTTATATGTCACTTAGTGTAGTTGGGTAACGGAATATTTTATTATATATTACTTTTAAAATAGTTTTTGGATGGTGTCTAATGGTTGGATGTATGATCTATTTGCTCAACCCCCTCTCCATGTCGTAATAGCATGACTAATATGAGTCTCTACTAATGAGCAGTATGTTATCTCTAAGTAGGTTCTTAGTATCTAACATTGTTTCCAAATATTTTAATTTGTATAGTAGTGTTTTTAATTTTAGTGTATAATATATGAATATGTATATCCCATCTCAAACTGCTCTCTATATATACTCCTAAATATCTAATTAAGTCTGTTGCATTTACAGTTAAACTTTCATTTTCTGTTGACGTTATCGTGCGTGTGTCACATTTATCAAAATGAATTGTCAACAGTCTGTGGTCAAAGCAAGTCTATACATGTTCAATATCAATTTCAGCTTCTATTTTAATACTCTTTTGATGTATGTGTGATAACAGTGTCATATCAGCAAAGCTTACTATTATAGTTCCTTTTGTGAACTATCTGTATAGTTCTGCTAGATATACATATACTGAATAATATTGGACCTAGGACCGTAGCTTGGGGAATGCCGTATCTGATTTTTTGTAGTTGCTTCTGTTACCTTTTATACTGACATATTGGAATCTATCAGTTGGGTAGCTTGTCATTGAATTCATTTCCTCTAAATCCAATACTGTCCAGTATATCCAGTAGTAGATTGTGACTGACTGTGTGAAACACTAAGTCTATGAAAGTACATAAAAAAGGAGAATTTTCATCTACATGGTTCTGTAGTGTACTAAAAAATGATGCACGGGTATGGGGTTTTCGTTAACTGAATTAAGGCTTTTTATGATACTTGAGCATGCTATTCTGATTCATTTCTACAAATTTTCAGGTTTGAAAACGACAGTGATTGAACATATGCGGATATATTTCATTTAATTACAGTTACCGATTTCGATCTTTCTCGTTTTTGCCGTTACAAATATAATCATCTGCTATGGTGTATATTTCTGGATATTATATTCAGTTAAATGCTGAACATTGATCAAAACTCTTTATACAGGGTGGTCAATATACAACTGAAAGACTTAAATTACGCCCCATTCGTGATACACGCATTTCAGTAGGCGGCACCGTAGAAGTTGTTTAAGCCACATGTGTCCGATTCATCATGGAGCGCTACATGATCCCACAACGCATCCGTATTGTTAAAACGTTTGTCTTAAAGAATGAGTCGATTGTTGCAACGATTCGGAAGCTACGACAAGATTTCTGTTGTAGTAATGTGCCCAGTATCAACACCATTCGTCAGTTGGTATGGAAATTAGAACCAACAGGTGAAGTTAAAGACTTGCCAAGGTCGAGCCGTGTTCGAACTGTTCGTACCCCGGAGTTTAGTGGAGCGCCCTGAGGCGTCTACCAGACATCGTTCAGTTAACCCAAGAACTATAGCCTAATGACCATGAAAGTCGGCGACAATACAGTCATGTAATATTGCAGCTTAATACCCAAAATAACGATTTTTACTTTCCTTTTTGGCTACTCAAATCCAACAATTTAACCTGTAAAACATGTGGTTCCAGCAGGACGGAGTAACTTGTCACACAGCTAGGGAATCAATCAATCTTTTGCGAACAATATTTCCGGGACGTTTAATTGCTCGGTTCGGTGATGTCAACTGGCCACCAAGGTCACCAGATTTAACGGCTCCCGACTTTTATGGGTTTTCTTGAAAAAGTGATGGGAAATGTAATCATGAGGGCTCAGGTTTGCGCGGCTACTAGAGGCGGACATTTGTCTGATACTATTTTTCATACATAATTTCTAAGTTTCAATAAAAGATTAAGATGAGAAAAATGAACGTATTTTATTTCATTTCACAAATATTCAAGATACAAACCAGTGAGTTACATATCGGCCACCCTGTATTTTCAGCTAAATACCGCCTCTATACGATTATCACCGTTCCTGAGTACACCGCTGCCTTTTCATAGCACGTCTTGATACCACCAACAAAATTATAGAGACTACCGTAGTTATGAGAGACGCGCAAGGATTTTTCTGTCGGTGGTCGGAAGTTTCATTATCTAATTTGGGAGTATGGCGTTTCTCAAAGAAACCGCGCTATTACCCTAGCTCAATCTAATAATCTTAACTCAAGTCGTCTACCGCTGTTTCGGGTACATATCTCGAAGGTGCTGCGAGAAGGCGGCGATCCCTTTTACACCATAATTAGAAGGGAGACGTGAAATAAAGACACTTTGCTTCACAGCATAATCATCCCTAGACGATACAAGGGTTATATAATATGTATTTGAAGGCGAAGCTAGACAGAATAAACCTTTGATCAAATTGCAGATAGCTCCCATGACTTCCTTCAGAAACATTGGATATTTCTGACGCATAGGCACAGCATATAAAATAGTTGTACAGTGTCAAAGCTTCAGACGATATCAGGCTGTTTACTTATTTCAACTAAACCCAATTATTGCGGTCTTTGTCCACAATTTGTATCTTTTTCCAGCAATCGTGAATTTAAAGACCCAGGGATATTTTTCATGAAAAACTATCATCTGTTTCCCACATCAACAATATCGTCAAGTGCTTTTGAAGGATTAGGTTTTGTATTTCGACATTTAGAAAATTTTGATATTCCTAAAACGTTGCTATCATTATATTTTGCCTTTGTACGATCTACAAGGTTAATTGAGAGAAAAAATGAGAGCCATTTGTCAAATGCCTTTGACTTAGAAGCTGGATACAATGTATCCACCACACAGATTTTCTAATGGGATCCTTCTGTGCAATTTCAACTTATCTGATTTGCCAAAGCGTATATAATTTGTTGATTTGGAGTTTCTTTTCAAATTACTAAAGTTGATTAATGTAACATCTGAACCATATCCTGTGGTTTTCATGTCGATAATCTCCCGTGTTTGTCTGGCCAATGAAAGGACATACATATGCTCTGAAAACCAAATTTATCTGACGAACTTCTGCGTCACCGTACACGTTGAACTCAATTTGGTTTTTAATGTATATAGTGCTTTTTGCAAAACCAAGTTTATATCTAACATACATTTCAACTAATCCAAGTAATTTTCTATTTAATAGATATTGATTCAGACTGTTTAGAACCCTGTACATGGAAAATGTAATTTTTGTAAAAAATGTTCTCTTCATTTAATTTTTGTCGTCGAGCTAGGAAAAAGGAGGCGCGGCTGCCCCCCTTGCCCCCCCCCCCCCGCTTGCATACACCCTTGGGCTACTTCCAAACAACTTCTGTTTGCCACTGGCAATGCGACACAAGCACATTCCTTGTAACCGCCCAGCTTTACTAGCAATCCAAGACATTGTGCAGATACGCTGGTCTTCTACGACTAGCGTAAGGGAACCTCCGCTGTCTCACCACTTTTTGCAACAGTTTGAGGCGGATGACGATCCAGCCCTGAGCGACCGCCGAGAAGGACGTACAAGGGGCCCAATGAGGCCTAAGTGCTCGCTGTCCCATTACAAAACACAGTAATTTCTGACAAAATCGAGTTTTTATTAAACTTCAACTTGCTGTGTTTTGCTATACCTTCTGGTATTGTTACAACTAAAATCGGTCCATAAATAAGGAAAATACAGTATGCGCGAAACACAGTAACTGACAGTTGATTGAGGCTTCTGCCACTGCAAAACACAGTAACTAACAAGACCCATATCAAAACCATGTAACTGCTAAGTAGTTACTGGGTTTTGTTATGGTTATTGTAGTTACTGTGTTTTGATTTGAGAAATCTTCTCCCAATTTATCCAGCAAGAGTGTAGTGAATCACCACCATCTACTTTTAGACATACCGCGTTGTTCAGTCAGTTGGTCTCTAACCACCATAGTGAGAGGATGCTACCTCGTGAGACGATGCTGGCATGTACGAGCCCCTTCCGTCTTCAGTTGGCCCAACTATTGAAATCTTAGTTTTTTTTCTTATCAAACACAAATAATAAAAAGTAGCAGGGTGTTATAGGTTTAAAATATTAACAATGAATATTTTGATAATATATAGTAGAAAACACCAACTTTACCACTCCCTAGTCAAATTTGCAGCATAAAAATAACACATGTTGCAGTTACAGCATATCAACCTATTTTCATTTCAATGCAAAATAAGTCTATAATGCATAGGTGGCTGCGAAAAATAAAAGCCATGACAATTTTTTTTATTAATCACAGCTGTCAGAATACGTTTAAAATAGCTTTGGGTATTTAAGGTTTTCAAAATGGGTAGAGGAAAGGTTATTAGTTAGAAAATTCGGTGACTGATAATTAAATTTTTTAATTCTGGGAAATTAAACTCAGAAATTGCAACTTTGTTAGACTTATCGCGGTACAGTTTGAGAAATATTGTTAGAAGATATAATGTAACTGGTTCAGTTATTATTAAGCCACGATATGTGAAAAAAAGTAATATCACAAATGCTGACCGAAGGGCATTAAGAAGAATAATCGTGAAAAACAGGCGTGCCAACCCTGAAGTTGCACAACTCGTTTATAGGCCAAAGAAAAGCCACTATTAACTCCACTGCAAAAGAAAAATCGGCTTAGATGGGCTAAAGAACATAGACAATGGACACCTCCACAATGGTGTGCAATACAATGGGGTGATGAGGCCCGATTCGAAGTTTGTGTTGGTAACAGTCGCAGTAGAGTTATTCGCAAAAAAAATGAAGCATTCCATGTTGACTGTCTGAAGAGAAAAGTGAAATTTCCAGCATCCATTATGGTCTGGGGCAGTATGTCATCAAAAGGAGTAGGAAAACTTCATCTTATTGATGGAAATGTGGATACAAACAAATATTTGGCAATTTTAGAAGAATCGCTTTTACCAGTGATGGAAGCATGTTTGACATCCGGCCAAGATTTTGTGTTTCAGCAAGATGGTACAGCGTGCCATACCTCAAAAAGACTATAAAATGGATGGAAGAAAATAATGAACCACTTTTGAATTGGGGTTCGAGCAGTCCAGACCTGTCACATATTGAAACTTTGTGGCACGAGATGAAAAAGGTTCTACGACAACATCCTACTCGTACGATTGTATATCACCGAACTGAGACAAAAGCTTCAAGAAAGATGGGATTGCTGTACACCAAATTTTTGCCAAAACTTGGTTAACACTATGCCCCAAAGAATTTCAGCCGTAATAAAAAATAAAGGTGATGTTACCCAATGGTAATCTTTCAACTGTTGCTTTGTTAACTTTGCGCATTTATTCTCACATTGTTTATTTGTTCAGATGTTCTATAAGTTATAGGTCTAAGTGATTTCAAATATGTATTTTTTACGACTAGAGTGTATCTAAAATGTTTTTGAGTAAATAAATTGTTTTAGAAGTAAATAGTTTCGTCATGTTTAGTTTATAAAGGTATATTTTGGTACAAATCTTGAAGTGGGCCAACTGAAGTGGGAAGGGGCTCGTAGTACACGAATGAAGAATGTAGTTTTTTTGGCACGCTCGTGGTTGAAGAAGGTAACTGAAAACATTTCTAAGACATCATATTATAATTTCATCGTCAGTAACTCTTCATTTTTTTTTTTTCGAATATCGATGAACTCCCGCTTTTTGGAAAAGTAAATTTTGAAATCTCCATTTTTTGTATGCAACTATGAGAGTGAAAATCAAAAAGAAACATACCTGAAAAGGTTGAAAGGCTTTTACTCTTTTAACGACTTGGCACGGGAAACTGAAGATTTGAAATTTAATCGCATAGAAAGCCCAGTCGATGACAGCGACCAAGATAAGGATTACTGCCCCACACCACAACCATATTGATGACAAAACTAAAATTACTTTAAAGAAGAGAAAAATGAATACAAAGAAAAAGCTAATTGAGGAATCAGCTCAGGTTAGGAAAGTTTTTGTTATTTATACTGTGGTTTAGGATATTAATATATACAATACATTAAACTAAATAATTTTTCAGGATGCCAACAAAGGGAACAAATCGCCCAGTGCTATTCTGAAAAATAAAGATGCCATTTTGGTGGTAAGATTCTAACTTATTGTTTAATTAACTAAATTTACTATTTGTTTTGTATTTTTCATAGGTTAACAGTGGTGAGGCAGAAGTAATTAACGAAGTGAGCCGCACAGCAGTAAAAAAGAATAGAAAAAGGCCAAGTGGAAAACAAAAAAATTAAAGCGATAAGGAAAACATCCGATGAGACCCGTGTGTAAAGGAAAATAAGGTAAAATGTGCCAAAAATGAACAGAACATCGAGGCAATATCTGGATTGAGTACTAGAATTTAGAGTACACGAGTAGAAGAATCTGGTTGTACAAGCAAATAAAGCTGCTTCCTGTTAATCGTAGGACCCGGTTAGCCAAACGTAGCAGGTGTGAATCAAGGCATTATACTTTAGGGTTTAGCAATAATTCGGTAATAACACAATCAGTGGCAGTAATTAAAAAAGGTCCTTATGGAGATCAGGTAAAGGAACGAAGAGGTGGCTGCCGTAATCAATCCAATCGAGATATGATAAAGGAACATATTGAGTCATTCAAGCCATCAGTGAGTCACTATCGGAGAAAAAATGCCGCTAATGTTAGGTATTTACCAAGAGAGTTGACATATATGAAAATGTATGATGATTTTGTAACAAAACATCCATCTGTTCGCAAAATCGACGAATACCGTAAACTTTTGAAGAAAATGAATATTTCACTTCGACAACCCAAATCGGATATCTGTGAAGAGTGCAAAATATTAAAGAACGCGTTGGAAAATAAAGAAGACGATAACATCCAATATCAGCTAAATTTCCACCGTGCTAAAGCAGAAGAGGCAAATCTAGAATATAAAAAAGACTCTACCGAAATAGCAAGTTTCACGAAATGTATATACTCTATGGATTTACAAAAAGTGAATATTTTGCCTATTATGCCCGGAAGTAAAAAAGCAATTTTCACGAGCCGACTTGTATTCAACCTTACCTTTGCTACTTTAGGTAAAGAATCTAAAAATAAAAAGTTCTATGTACTCTGGCACTGAGCTTTAGGTGGACGTAAAGCTGAGGCTATTATTGACGCTCTATTAGAAGTAATGAGAAAAGAAAGAGATGTCTCTCATTTTGTATTCTGGGCAGATAACTGTACTACATCCCAGAATAAAAATTGGATTCTATACACTTCCTTGATTACTGAGGTCAATCGTTCTGCTGAACCACATGAAATCGTTATAAGATATCTTACACATGTCTGCTGATGGAATTCATGGAAATATTGAGCAAAAAAATATTAAGGAACAGAAATGTCTATGATTTCCAGGAACTGACTGAACTTGTAAAACATTCTAGAAGAAATATCGAGGTGCTTGAATTGAAAGAATTTCACTTGTGGCAAAATAAGAAAAGGTCTTCAAAGAAACTAGAGGATCCTTTAAAAGGTTTTCTATTACAAAGCCTGGTAGAAGTTTGTTTTACACGAGGAAGCAGTATATAAAACAGATTTTGAAGACGAGTATCAAGAATTAGATTTCTTACAGAAAAAACACTGTCCAAGTACGTTTATGCCCATAACTTTAAATGTTCGCGGAATCTTAAGCGAAAAAAGCCCTTATTTTAAAAACTCTAGTGGCATAAATGTCGGAAAATCGAAAACTGTTTTATCAAACAATAGCAGACTCGGAAACGTCTTTAGATTTGATGGACCATGAGCAAATGGATGTCGTAGATTCCGATATTTGGATAGAATCTATCGGTACCACTGCTTATGCCATTTCTTTAGCTTAGCTTTCCGTTGTGTTACTAAACCTATGTATGTGATCAGTTCGTTCCTTTCGTAATTTTTGTAAAATTATTCGTTTTTGTTCAAAGTACCTATTTATTCTGTCTGTTTTGTTAGTTTTATATTATTCGACTTACGAACGAACAACGCTTGCAAATTATTGAATTTCACTATCAGAAGTCATGCTCGGTTAAGAGAGTGCATCGAGCACTGCTTCCAATTTATGGGCAATTTGGTCGGCCTACTGAGGGAGCTATTCGGAAGCTTATGACTAAATTTCGAACTCAGTTTACATTATTGGACATTAAACCACCAACACGCAGACGTAGAGTGAGGACTGAAGAAAATATTGCGGCTGTATCCGCCAGTGTTAGTGATGACCGTGAAATGTCGATTCGCCGCCGTTCGCAGCAATTGGGCCTCTGTTACTCCACTACGAGAAAATTTTGCGACAGGATTTGGGTGTAAAACCTTACAAGATACAGCTGGTGCAAGAATTGAAGCCACACGACCTCTCACAACGTTTCCAATATGGTGAATGGTCCCTGGCAAAGTTGGAGGAAGATCCACATTTTTATCGAAAAATTGTGTTCAGCGACGAAGCTCATTTCTGGTTGAATGGGTACGTTAACAAGCAAAATTGCCGCATCTGGAGTGAAGACCAGCCAGAAGCATTGCAAGAGCTACCAATGCATCCCGAAGAAATCACTGTTTGGTGTGGATTATGGGCCGGTGGCATCATCGGGCCGTACTTCTTCAAAGACGACAATGGCCGGAACGGAGCTGCGAATGGCGAGCGCTACCATGCGATGATAAAAAACTTTTTTTTGCCCAAAATGGAAGAGCTGGACTTGGCTGACATGTGGTTCCAACAAGACGGTGCCACATGCCACACCGCACACGAAATAATGGCCCGATTGAGAGGCGAGTTCGGTGAACAGTTTATCTCACGTTTGGGGCCCGTCAATTGACCGCCTAGATCGTGTGATTTAACGCCGTTGGACTATTTCTTGTGGGGCCATGTTAAGGCTAATGTCTACAGGGATAAACCAGCAACGATTGACGCACTGAAAGCTAATATTGAAGCATTTATTCGTGAGATACCGGCCGATATGTTGGAGAGAGTGTGCCAAAATTGGACCTTGCGCATGGGCCACCTAAAGCGGAGCCGCGGCCAACATTTACATGAAATAATCTTTCAACATTAAATTATATCGACCGTTCTATCGACTCAAATAAAGATTTAATCGTTTTTTCAAATGTTTTGTGTTTTTTTTGAAAATCAAATCCTATAACTCTCAAAAAATCACCCGTTATAAAGAAAAACGTGAATAGCGGTTATCTAACACATCGTGAAGTTTTTGTTCGATTTTCTTTAATAATTTCTTGCGCTTATACATTTTAGAAATACTGATTTTTCTTCATTAACGTAAACATGCAATTACTGTGTTTTGTGATGGGACAGCCGTGCTGTTATCTCGGCTGGTTGCCTTTCACCCTATTCAGAATATAGAAGAGTTAAATATTTAGGGATATTCAAGATATGGCAAATACTTCCGAGCGACGACGACGCTTTTGGGTTAGGCATAAAAAAAATTTGTGTGTGTCCATGACGAGCGAACTAATACTCGTACAGCCGTTAATGATCATGAATACATTTCAAGTGTGCCGACAATTAAATAAGCTTTTTTCAATATTCCGTTGGTGACACACCAGTTCAAAATCAACACACGGAGGCGCCTGAGCAGACTTAGTCAGTGAAGGTGCAAAATCCGCAAAGACTTGTGCCTGGAGGTGCATGTGCTCATAGAAGTATCAAAGCGTAGCTGATGACACAACACCGAAAGGAGAATAATGAACCATAGTTACAGATGACTCTCGGAACATACGTATTTAATTAAAATGTACACAAAGGTATCCCGAGGTGCCAGTGCTCACAGCAAAATGTCACCACTGACAATAAGCGCGTATGTTTATATCACTGAAGTGAAAGAAGGGGGCACAGTGAATCCAATACCTAAATGTTATGTCTACGGCATTCGAGGAATTCCAATATAGCGCTCGGTATCACGCTTTTACTCGAAAATAGAACTAAAGATGGAGAGTAAAATCGAATTAAATCCTCGCTTAATACACATTCGAAGGTACTTATAAATTTCAACCCCGAAGTATCTCCACTTTATTTCTCACCCCTTGAGACGGCGACGTCTCTATTCATCGCTCAGCCACCTTTTGTAATGAAATTACGGTAGCAAAACGTGACCCATTGTTGGGAATCTTTAAATAAAATTTACGTCTGCAGCCTGCGATAATGATAATACCAGACTTATCACAAATCAAGTTCCTTTACTGGTCTTTGCTCACTCCCTCGTTTTCTTTGCCGTTTCCTTTATACTACATTGCTTTTTACTCCCACCGCCTATAG